GTTGTTGTTAGTGGGTTGTTAGCTTAAGATGCTGTCAGTTAGTTATTTTCTTTCTTTCTTATTAGTTTGTTTCTAGGGAGTGCCGCCAGGGGCATACTTGTAATYTCCWTTCTTTTTATATTAAGTTAATATAAATAATGAACTGGCAGCAACCAGAAGTGGTTTTCTTTTTCTCTCAATCATATCTTCCTCTTCTTCTCTTTCTCTCTCGCGTCTCTCTCTCCATGAATGATTACAGATACTTTTCAGAATTCAGAATTCAGAACAACATTCTCTACATTCAGAGTTTAGAGGAAAGAAAAGTTCACCAATACCAGTATACCTCTTAATGTAATTATTACACTTTCAAATGTCAGACTTCAGAGCAAATGAACTGGCCCTAAGAAATTTTTAGTTCTAGGTTTCTATCAAAACATAATAACCCAATAAAAGTTCCAATTGTTTTTGGAGCACCTAAAACTACCCAGAATGCAAAATTTAAAATCTTGGCCCATCCCAAAAATATATTTGATAGGAATATTTACCTTGATGACAGGCTCATGATAAGCTAAACACTACTTGATTTTCAACCAACAAAGGCAAGTAAAAAGACTGGCTTTTTTCCATTGTGTCTCGCATGGTTGAACAGATTTAGTGCAAGGAATGCGTACTCACCTGGTTTAATATCTCTGTGGGTGATATTTCGATCATGACAGGATTTAAGTGCCATCAACTGAAGACAAGGTAAAAAAGATTTGTAATTGAGTCTGAGAATAAGCTTTCAGAAAAAAAAAAGAAATACAAGGAATAAAAATGAAAATATTTAGAAATAATAAAAGATCTAAAATATAAAAAACCTAGAAAAGGTCATATATGAACAACACGACATATATAAAGATCCAAATGTGTTTCTGCTTCACTTATATTAATTTATTCTCTTAGACACAATAATGAGCACCTTCCTGTTATTTAATATGATGGTTTTAATTCCAGTTACAGTGGTCATAATTATAATTTTTATGCTCTTCTTTCCTCCAACTTACATAAGTATACCTCAATGTTCAAAATATCGATATGCACGATACGCCAGTAGAGGTGTATCGGGCAGTATTGGTATATTTTTTTTTATTTTTTTAGTTTTTTTTCAAATCTAGTTCAGAGGGGCTAGTTTAAGGTCCGTTCACCTCCTGAACCGGTCGAAAGCCCAATACACCCTAAGTAGGGGTGTATCGGGAAGCTCCCGATACGATATGTACCAGCCGATACATATCGATACTTTGAACCTTGGTATACCTTATTGTGATTTTATTTCTAATGATAAAGAAATGCCATCACACAATGATGGTTTCTGCTATTCGAGGTGTTGAGATGGGTTGACAGGGTATGGACCTAACCTCCAGTGTTTTTTAACGAAGTGGCAACTCTCATCTCAAACCTGTGTTCACACAACGGTACAGGCCTAACCCTCCCCCCCCAGCAGAGGTCACAGATCAAATATGGACCTTTGACAATCCAGATCTATAGGCAAAGGGTTAAAAAAAGGCCACCAGCATATTAATAAGATCTCCTTTCCATAAATTGGCAGAGACTTCATCAAAAGTCCATTCAAAGGCCTCCACTAAAGATGGGGCAAAATCAACAGCCTGAGTCTCAGACAACAACATCATAAAAAGGCTACTACTTGATGTTGATCCCAGCTATCTAGGGTTCTTGAGATGGGTGGACTGTATATATAACTAACCTTTGGCATTTATTTTCACAAAGTGGCTGCTCTCAGACTTGAACCCACATTCTTATGCTTATCAGCCCAAGATTTTACCTTTATGCAAAGCAATGACCCTAAGACAATGGCATCATCTCAACAAGATATTGGAGATGGAAATTTGCAGAAATACCTACTACTACACTGTATTAGTACAGATGTTTAGAGGGCTTATAACAAATGATGGCAAATTTCCATTTACCAAACAGACTAGGATTTGCATTTTAACCAAGATGAAAGGACAATATAGACGTTAAGTTGGCACTGTCTACCAAGGGATACCCTTTTAATAGGATTGAGAGAACATAAGCATGGTTTGAAGAAGACCTTTCCAGATCAGCCACACCATCCAATTATCCAAATAGAGATAAAACCCAAATCCACTCCTTATGCCTCCATTTATAATCAAGGCAGCTACCCAAAAGAATAGTTCTTTGGTGTTATGACCAAAGAAAGAAGACTGAATGAAGAGTTTTGTCTTGCCCAATCAGTATAGTCCAGATTTGGAAACTGAAAGTCCTTCCAAGTCTCACCAGAAGATTAGAGAAGATAATAGAGAGAGGAGAAGAGACCCACGAGCCCCAAATCTTCTGTTAAACCTACTCTGTTACCATGAAATCGGAATGGGAGAAGAATAAAAGAGAGAATAGAGAAAGAGACATGTTTGAGGAATCCCAAATGGGTAGCATATACAACAGATCCTTAACCTTGTGCTCTAATATCAATTAAGTCAAAGACCCCCTGGCATGCGGCAATAGGTTTCAGTCACAACTCACAAGTAGTAACAAGCAAATAAAGAAGAGAAAACAGAAGAACTATGGTAGAAACAGAAAATGACTCTTTATTCACTCCTTAGCAGAATATAGATATATATATATATATATAGAGAGAGAGAGAGAGAATAGAAAACTCTTTTGTCTTTACGAGAACCAAACCAAAAATAGTATCTTTCAACTTGTACTTGGACTCTTAACTCTCATATTCAAACTATTAAAAAAGAGAAATTTCCTATCCAAACTAGGATGCATTTATAATTCTAGCAGTTCTAGTGTTCTACTAAAACTAAATTAAAAAAAAAAACAGGAATTATGAAAGATTGTATATCATGGTTTTACTATAAATAGTAATCACAAAAAAGTACTATAAATAGAAATTGTGGGGATTAATGTAAACAAGTCATAAAGCTATTATAAATAGTAAATTTCTAGATGATTGAAACTTAACTCTCTAATGACCAAATCAACCAAAACTTGACAATCATAGTCACTTCTTTTCTGGTCAACAGTGAACTACTGCACTGTGCAGGTCTGCCATTTGAATCTTTTCTTCAATTTCTTTGCTTCCATGTTTGCTTCAGAGAGAGAGAGAGAGAGAGAGTACCACAGGAATAAGAAATTTCAATGGCCAAAGTTCAAACTACATTTAAAAAAAATCCTACAACACAGCACTAAAACAGATTAAGAAAATTACAATGATTATAATTTGATAATTCCCATTTTGTTACTCTCTATATTACAAGGTATATGAACATGGTTGTTCACCAAGTACTCCCTACTCCCTGAGTAAATTAAGTCCACTTATTCATGTAATAGAGCACAAGAACTAGCCATGCACAAGATATACATGCTTGGAATTACATGTATGACGATACATCATAATTCTTCTTGGCAATAAATCCGATTGAAAAATGAGGAAGAAGAGAGAAGAGAAGAAGAAAGAAAGAAAGAAGAAAAGGTTTGGAGCAATGGAACAGTACTGGCGGCGCCAGATTATATTATATTATATAGGGCGACAAAAATAAGAAGGGAAAAGACACATGTGACCCTGCTGTAAGTGAAGTACAATAACAGAAAATAAAAAAGCTTTAACTAGCCAAACAGACCCTAACACGAATAACTAAATTATTTCAACACTCCCCCTCAAGTTGGAGCATAGATGTCAATCATGTCCAACTTGTCACACAAATCATTGTGCTGCACATGATGAAGACCTTTGGTGAAGATATTTGCAAATTGTTCTTCTGAGCTGACATATGGATTACACACTTCTCCATTTACAAGTTTCTGCTTGTCCACTTCAATGTGTTTCGTCCTATCATGCAGGACTGGATTAGTAGCAATATTTGATGGCAGCTTTATTGTCACAGTAGAGTGACATAGGGCTGCTCACTGCAAAACCCAGTTCACCTAACAAATTTCTTATCCACATGATTTCAGCAACCCCATGAGACATCGCTCTATATTCTACTTCAGCACTAGATCTAGCCACCACACTTTGTTTTTTACTTCTCCATATGACCAGGTTTCCTCCTACAAAGGCACAATACCCACTGGTAGACTTTCGGTCATCAACTACCCCTGC